CATGCCTTGGATCATATTGGGCTGAGGTGAACAACTCTGTGAGGTGCCAGGCAAGGGTGATCTGGGCCTGACGTACCTGGGTCCTGCTTTGTGGTCATATTCCTCCCAGTGATGCTGCTGCTTCTGTGCCTTTCAACGCTATTGTCAGGAACACACTGCAGAGAGGAAAGGCTGCACCTCTTTGGAGGGAACCAAAGAGCATAGTTACATCCAAGTGTGGCCCAAGCCATTCTTACTTGGACTAGTTATGCTGTGGGTGTTCTGAAGGATCAGGTTCGACAGTGAACCAGAATGGACATGCCTAGCATTCTTCCCATTTTGCCACCCAGCCTGCTTCAGAAAAAGTCCTGATGTAGGTGTTTGTATCCTGTCTCTTTCTTCCCTCACTGTATTTGTCTTTCAAGCCTGGCAGCAGTGGAAGGAAACTTAGCACGTGATGCTGACATTCTGCCATGTCTGTGGGACGGCAGATTCCTAAAGTACTCAAATCTAGCTAAGAGAATAGCTAGGAAAACAGGAGGCAGAGGACTCATCAAAGCATGAAGAGGCTTGAATCCCAGTGGATTCAAGGAGGGATACCGGCTTTTATCCAGAAGCAGGGCTGCTTACACCAGGAAGGCTGTCTGGGTTCCTGCCCCCACTGCCCACACAGTCCCTCTCTCATGACTTCCCACCTGTGCTACATCATTTTATGCATTTCGATCCAACCATTCATGATATATCTTACTAGTGTGATGTTCATTGCCATAAAGGGCTGCTGGATGTTGTAGCACAGTTGTGCTGGATACATGAGCCCAGCCAGAACCTGGACATCGGGAAGGAAGGCAGAGAAAAGGTCAGGGTTGTAGAGAGGCAAGGGGATCCCAGGAGTACCACCAGTGAGAGGAGTGCAGACATGAGTCCCATGGTACTTGACAAGGCAGGCAGTAGCAAAGAGGAACAAACATCCAAGCACGTGGACGAAGTCACAGCACTTAACTGAGGGATCTCTGAAGACCACATAGCCCTCAGCAGATTTTGGTTTGTAAAGGCTCACCTGGAAACCTCAGACACAATGAGCTGAACGGAGCTTGGTGGCCCAGGGTGCAGATCACATTGCATCCCTGATGCTCTGCTCATTACCTGAGAAGAGCTGTCAATGCCACATGCGGGATCACCAACCTGGCACACAGCGAGTCTCTGGTTCCGAGCAGCACCGAGCCCCTGCAGCTCCCAGAAAAGCACAGGGGTTTCTTCACATGCATTTCTTTACCTGTTTCAGGACTGGGCCTGGGGATTGCATTTTATAACAAAATAGACCAATGAAAAAAAAGTTGGAGAAGCTCTGAGAAATGTGTACTTCATAAAGCCCTCTTTAACTGATGTCGTCAGAATTACACCTCTGCCTGAGAGTGAATCTTAACAGGTATAGTGCTGCTGGAATTTTCCGTAGTTTTCTGCTACTTGACTCCCCACTCATTTATTGTTGTTTTACACTCAAATTCCCAGCTAGGCAGGGTTATTCCTTCAGAGTTAGTGCTGGTAGTGGAGGCTACTGTCCCACAGCCTATGCCTTCACACACTACTGCCCTTGTACCACTGTGTTTGCACCTGTTTGTCTACACTCAGCTGCTTCAGAAAACTTCCCTCCAGACTTTTCCTTCCTCCTTGTCCCACCATACACACAAGGGCCCAGTTTCCCTGTTCTCAAGCCAAGACACAGGAATGTACCAGTCCCTAGTGATTCCTTCCAGCAAATTAAGGATTGCTGAACTAAGGAGGGTTTCAGTAGAGCAACACGGCCTCAACTGAAAATGCCGCAGTTCTTGTTTTCCTCCTTCGGTAGGGCACTGTGCAATATTTACGTCCTGTTTCAGCAGGTCTAATTCTACTACCTCATATGTACATCTGTGTCTGCACACTGTATCGTTCACTGAGTTTCCATTTAGGCAAATTTTCACTGGCCAAGATCTGGATACTGTGGCTCCAGGAGGACTTCTGACCAAAGAACCAGTCATTTCCATCACAGCTGTCAGGACAGGAGCATTTCTTACCACCTGCCCACCCTGTGCTTTACACAAGAAAGCTCCATCTTGGGTGAGCAACCCGCTACTAACTTTAAACAGAATAATAACAACAACAACAACAATAATAATAATACCACCATAATATGTGTACATACGTGCCCTGCAGAACAAAACCAACAATCACAACAATACCACCATAATATGTGCACACACATGCGCTGCAGAACCCAGCAGCAGTTTTGCCAGTCATAAATGAAGTCAATACTCCTACAAATTCTTGGGGATACTCAACAGTGCCTCGTGTTTCAACTGTTTAGAACTCAGCAAACGCTAAAGCATGAACACCCACTTCTGTGCTGAACACATGTATCGTACTGAAATTTACCTTTAAAAATATGTGTTATTTAGCTTCAGGAAAAATTGGATTGTAGTTTCTCAAAACAAGAATCAGAAAAAACATAGTCTCCCCCCAACTGCTTCCCAAGTTAAAATATACCTATCTAGGAGTAAAGGATAGCGCACTCACCCCTGTCCAGTTTTTTGTCTTGCTCTTTTTTTCTCCTTGGAGGAAAGCAGCTCTGAAGACACTCCTTCCCCTTGCACATACGGACTTGCCAGTTCAGGAGAGGGGCAGGGGAACAGGGCTGCAGGGGAACTGCTGGGCTGAATGCTTGAGTTCACAGTGTTAACTGGCTGGAGAATCCTATTTTGTGATAGGTAGCAAGCCAGGGCCTAATTTATGGAAATTTTGACCTTCGGTCCTCTTTGACATTTTCAGATTAGCTGTAGCCTGTGTGAGACATTAAAGCTCTTACAGTAAGGGGCTCTAAATCAGCCTGTGCGGCTGCTGGAGCTGACGAGCGGGTCAGAGGTAAGAATTCACTGAGGTTCGTGTGTGGGCTGCTCGGTGCCTGTTTGACATTTATAAATCAGCGACATTCCTCTGCACAGCTCAGTGCATACAGATCACTTCAGTCACTCTGAAAAGGGCCCCTCCTTTCAGTCAAGGGTGGATTTGGGCATCCTTGGCCTTTCCTTTTGACTTGAGCAAGAATATGTCTAAACAAATCCAGCTTCACTAGCTGGCGAGTTCACCTACCACCATACGGTGTGACCTGCTTCCCTCAGGAGGATTGAGGCCCTTTTAGGATCAACCTATTGCACCGATAGGTGTAATAGCAGACTCTCACATTTTCATCAGCCACCACAACAAACATCGTGTTTGTCAGTTTTGTAGCACGAACAGCCACAGTCCCATTCTGCTGGGTGCTGGGCCAACAACTTGGACCAAGAGGAGGCGGCCAGTTGGATTTCAACAGTTTCCCATGGAAACCTATTTGCCACGAATAAAGCTCCACTGGGCTGAGCCGTATGAGTGGGCCTGCCCCAGATTTCTCACAGTCTAGACTCTATGTAGAAAGAAAACATGATGAGAAAAACACAACCAGGGCTGTGGACAAGGTAACGTTAACATCAGCCAGTTATTGTGCAATAAATGTCCGTATCGGCTTCAGCAAGCCTGACGTGTTTAACCGCTGCTTGCTTCTCTGAACCCTGAGGGTCAATATGGACTCTCCGTTTCCCTCAGTGCCGGCACTGCCTCTGGCACATGCCGCTCCTCCCGGCTAGCGGCTGTGCTGGGATTTGGAATACTGCCCCATTGCATTTATGGTGGAACACACAACGGCTGGGATGGGGAGGCCAGCTCCTCGGTGGTTGTGGACCAGCAGCTGTGGAGCCAGTCAAAGAAAGAGACTGTGGTTTGGACTGCACTAAGCGGGAGGTGTTAAGGACTGCCACGAGGGTATGGCTGGCACAGGGGCTATGGCGGGCTTGTACACCCCGGTAGCCAACACTGCCACAGTCACCCGCTGCCTTGGTGAAGCCACCCTCAGCCACCTCAAAGCGAAGAGGGATGATGGTTTTTGAGAAGAGTTCTTCCCTCATGCCCACTCGCCTTGACACTGAGGGGAAAAGCTGCGTTGGGAGGTGTGGGGGTGGAAGAGGGATGAAAATCAGAACTGAGGGAAAGATCTGACAGAACTGAGGGAAAAATCTGACAGAACTGAGGGAAAACTCGGACAGAAGGGAGGGAAATCAGCGGAGGGAAAGCGCAGCTCTGTGATGGCGGGTGGGTGGGGAGGCCCCTCTCCCGAAGGCCGTGTGCGGGGCTTGCCTCGGGTCTCCTCGGGGGGCGACG